AAAATGCAAAATGTTAGTTATACTATTTAAAGTAGAGCTACAAACAAAATCCCGCTAATTTTTAAATAAAATAAAATATGCAGGTATCTATATTACCCACTGAGAAATAGTTGGACAAATCCCTCCCATTTGGTGCTGATAGCAAACATGTTGCCACATTTATACAAAGAAACGGCAACTCTTAATTATCCTTCCTCCATGAGTAATAGTAATACTGGTTTCTGAATTTATTCTAGAATAGCTTCAAAGCATTTTTATTAGTGGTGTGCAAATACTATCTACTCGATACTTTAATACCTGATACATGGGCGGATTCGAAGTAATCGAATCCTTCGACGCCAAATACTCGTTACTCGAATCCCGAATGGGACCGAAGCCGAAGTGTTACTTTCGTATCAAACGTATCGGCATCGGCCGTATGAGTAACGAGTTTGTACTTAGTCCAAGAGCCCGTGAGAGCCAGACCTTCGGAATTTTATAAAAGCTGAGAGTTCTTCTGTGTATGTCCCCAATACAGGTAAGAATGATCCCCGCCCATGAAACCTGAGTAGTGGTGGCTTTGGCAGGTAACAGGTAGCAAAGGTGCATAAAATTCCACCTCAAATTTATTAATTTATAAAACTCAATTTTTTTATATTTTATTCGTAATAATATTAAAACTCGCGTTGCTCATTGCCACACACTTGATATGGTTACAACCCTCTGCCAGACGCCCCTGAACTATTATAATTTGTAACTATACTTACGTTATATTATAAAAGCTAAATTTTATATATATTATTTGGATAACTATTAAATAATGTTTCCTTAATAGCCAGACAATTTAGAGGGTTATATCGTCCTGCCAGACGTATTAAATGTGTACAATAGTTATGAGTGAGAGGAGCATATTCAGCAACGGGCGTGAGTAAAATAGAGCGTGCAGTCTATTGCGCTAGTTCAGTGTGATGTCATTTTGGTTCCACTGACATTTAATTCTAACCAAACTTTTAACAAAAACATCAATAAATTTGACATATACGTTTTTACTGTTTCTATTTTATTTCAAAATATTGTTTACAGGTCATAAAAAATAGTTTAAAGGTATGTAATTGGTAACTAAACGATTGTATATTTGATACATGCTATCTACTTACTTTAGGAATATATTTATAAAATTGAAAAAACGATATACGGGATATATCAGTATATAACGAGAGTGGTGCTATAACTTCTTTCAGAGGTAACATTTTATAACCCAAAAAATGAGACATGAAAGCCTTATATTTAATGTACTACCCCGCAAGTAGGCTTTGATTTAACTTTTGACATTTGTTACAAATTAATTATTGAATTGTCAGTGTTTTGCGTACCCATCGAAAAATGAAAGTGGAGCAAAGATACGCGATAAAATTTTGTGTTCGATTGGATAAAACACCAACTGAAACTTTTGAAATGATTAAAGGTGCATATCTAGATAATAGTTTATCACGATGTGGAGTGTTTGAGTGGCATAAAAAGTTTAAAGACGGTTGTGAATCAGTTGAAGATGAACCTCGTCCCGGTCGACCACAAACTGCGAGAAATGACACAAAAATTGCAGAAATTAACGACTTGATACAAAATGATCGCCGGATTGGCATAAAACGAATTTCTGACAATGTTAATTTGTTTTACGGTACCACTCAAAAAATTATTCATGAAGATTTAGAGTACCGGAAGATCGCGGCAAGATGGATTCCAAAAGTGATGACCGATGAACAAAAAGCGAATCGAGTGACAATTTGTCAACAGTGGAAAAGGCAATTGCAACGTAACCCACAGTTTTTAAATAATGTGGTTACATGTGACGAAAGTTGGTTTTATCATTACGATCCTGAATTAAAGTCTCAAAGTATGCAATGGAAGCATAAAGGCAGCCCAAGACCGCAAAAGGCCAAAACTGCTAAAAGCGCTGGTAAAGTGATGCACTTGATTTTTTTTGATAAATTTGGCGTTATTTACGATCACATTGTACCTAGAGGACATACAGTAACAGAGGAGTACTATTCTAATGTACTTCGAGGACCCTTAAAGGCTGCTTTATCAGGACTTTGGCTGGACGCTGTATCACGACAATGCTCCGGCTCATAAATCAATGATTTGTCAACGAACATTTGAAGAATTAGGGGTTGAAATTATGGTTCATCCCCCCTACTCTCCAGACCTTGCTCCATGTGACTTCCATTTGTTTCCTGAAGTCAAAAAAGAATTGAGAGGTAGAAGATTTGAGTCGGATTTAGAGCTCAACCACGCTGTGATGGGTATACTAAACAGACTATCAAAAAATGGTTTCTCAGAAGTTTATGATAAGTGGATAAAGCGATGGGATAAGTGTATTCAACAGAATGGAGAGTACTTCGAAGGATAGTTGTTGAATTTTTTTAAATAAATGTTTCGTTGTTATACTATAGCACCAGTCTCGTTATTTTCTGATACATCCTCGTAATTTAGGTAAACAAAACGAACAAAACGCACTCAAAAAATCTACTGTCACTTTAATTGTCAGTGGAACCATAATTACATCATGACTGAACTAGCGCATCGCGATCTTTTACTGCGCATCAGCTGCTCATTGTGTATTATGTAGTGCGCGGTTATGCTCATAGTAAACGTACATCAAACGTATATTAAACGTTGTATTATTTTTCTGTGTAATTTCTAACTCACAAAAAAATTATTCTTTCGTATAATAAACAATAAAATTTTGATGACTTTGAAATTTCAGTTGAATTGAATATAATAAACTTTATAAAATTTAAAAATAACATGAATTGAGTTACTAGATTTTTGATATGATTGATATTTTATTATAAAATTTTACGGAATATTATTTTAAAAATTTATTATTCAAACTGTAATAATTTTATTCAATGAACTTTCTCAAAAAATTAGAAAAAATATTACTAAATAATTCGGAATAAACAACAGTAGATGCGCAGTAAAAGATCGCAATAGACTGCACGCTCTATTTCACTCACATCCGTTGCTGCATATGCTGCTCTAACTCATAACTATTGTACACATTTAATACGTCTGGCAGGACGATATAACCCTCGAAATTGTCTGGCTATTAAGGAAACATTATTTAATAGTTGTCCAAATAATATATATAAAATTTAGCTTTTATAATATAACGTAAGTATAGTTACAAATTATAATAGTTCAGGGGTGTCTGGCAAAGGGTTGTAACCATATCAAGTGTCTGGCAATGAGCAACGCGAGTTTTAATATTATTACGAATAAAATATAAAAAAATTGAGTTTTATAAATTAATAAATTTGAGGTGGAATTTTATGCACCTTTGCTACCTGTTACCTGCCAAAGCCACCACTACTCAGGTTTCATGGGCGGGGATCATTCTTACCTGTATTGGGGACATACACAGAAGAACTCTCAGCTTTTATAAAATTCCGAAGGTCTGGCTCTCACGGGCTCTTGCTCTATAATCATTTGGACCGATATTTATTTACTTGATTTACTTAAATATTTGAGCTGTTGATGTGTTATGTTGTCTAGCGGGGTGGCTTATCTAGAGGTTTACTGTAGGCGAGTTCGGATAGTCAGGGGCTGGAGCGAGACACAAGCGGACTAAACCGAACGCAAGAAGGGTCGTTTGGGATAAAAAGTGTTAAAGGAACTTGCCAAACCGAACGCAATGTCTTAATAGGCTCTCCCTAGTCATAAATGTCATGTCATAAATCGTTTAAGGTTCGAGAAATTATTGGATCTTTTATTATTTTTGTATTTTGTGTAGGTACATAAATTGCTGAAATTGGTAAAAGCTCGTTATTTATTCAATATATGTATGGGATGAAATATTGACGCTTGGTTTTCCCACGTCTCTTCCACTAAGTAGGGTAGTACCACCTAAGTAGACGTTTATATCTAACTCTCGGTTATAAAATACAGGGTAGTTTTTAGTTTTATATGAGGTACCGTAGAGTTTAAGTGTGATTTTTTGAACGGTATATTTTAAATATTAATAGAGATGTCGGATAGGAAAAAAAGTAAAGTTTGGTTGCATTTTACTGTGGTCAATAGTGAAAAAGCTAAATGTGATATTTGTAAGAATGTATTATCTTATAAAGGCGGGGCGACTTCAAATCTACAAAAACATTTAAAAGCAAAACATTTTTCTACGCTCAATGAAAATGAGACTACTTCTCAACATCAACAATCTCAATCGGCCAGGACGACTATTGACGAGGCTGTGGCAGGTCCTTCAAGTGCTCCAGATGTAAGATATCACGACTACCAAGAGTTCTTTACAATCTCAATTGGCCGAAGTACCTACACGTAAACTTGCACAAACCAAAATATCGGCTTTTTCTGTACGCCCAGCATCTGTGTCTAGAACAAAAATGCTAAATGGAATGGTCCTAAACATGATTTTACAAGATCTTCAACCATTTTCTGTAGTCGAGGATAATGGATTTAGAGCCCTAATAGCTGTCCTTGATCCTTCCTATCAACTACCATCAAGAACAACTTTAAGTCGTGATTTGTTAACTAAAAAATATGATGACGTTGTATTGAGAGTGAAATCTTTATTAAATGAAGCAGAGTATATAACACTTACAACTGACACTTGGACATCACGTTCTGTTGAAAATTACATGGCAGTAACTGCACATTATGTGACTAGGGAGTGGACACAAAAATCACTATTACTGGGTTGCTTTCATTTCCAAGAAAGTCATACAGCTGAAAATATTAGAAATTAGTTATTGCAAATTTTAAATGAATGGAATATTTCTGATAAAATAGTAGCTGTAGTAACAAACAATGCAAGAAACATAACAGCCGCAATAAAGCTAACTGGTTGGCCAAATCTGCCATGTCTGGCACACACATTAAATCTTGTGGTTCAAGATTCTTTAAAATTATTAGAACCATTACAGAAAAAAGTTAAAAAAATTGTAGAACATTTTCATCGGAGCACTACAGCAGCAGAAAAACTCAACTAAATGCAAACGCAAATGACTGGAAAAAATTTAAAACTAATTAACGACGTTATTACCCGTTGGAACTCCACCTATTTTATGTTTAGCAGAATTTGTGACGTTCAAATACCACTTGAAGCTGCTGTTGGTGTTTTGCATAACCCTGTTGAGATACTTACTGTAGCTGAATGGTCAGTATTAAAACAATGTTGTGTCCTTTTAAAACCTTTTGAGGAAGTAACTAGAGAACTGAGTGCCGAAAAAAGTGTATGTGTTTCAAAAATAATACCATTGATAGAAAGCTTAAAACAGTTTTTGTGTGGCCTTCAGGTCGATGACGAGACCGCATCGAGTTTAAAAGACTGTTTGATACAGGGCTTAAGAACGAGATTTCATCGTGTTGAGTTTAATGCAATACTGGCAAAAGCAACTTATTTGGATCCCCGGTTTAAAAAAAAGGTTTTAGCACCGAAAACGCAGTTACTCAAGTGAGAGAACTTTTAATGTCTGAAATGTCAAGTCTTATTAAGAGAAACAATGAAGTTATGGAGGTTTATAAAACATCAGTATCAGAAGGTGAAGAGGAGGCTATGGAAGAGGATTCAATATGGAAAAGTTTTGAAGCAAAAGTCGTAAAAAATACATCGACAGTAGCCGCTTCAATTATTGAAATGAAACAGTACGCAGAGGAGAATAACATTAAGAGAAAGGACGACCCCCTAAAATGGTGGAAAATAAGGGAAGCAGTGTATCCAAATTTATCAAAGTTGGCAAAAAAATACCTAGGTGTAACGGCAACTTCTGTTCCAAGTGAACGAGTGTTTTCTAAGGCGGGCCAAGTGGTTTCGGTTCGTAGAAGTAGACTTAAACCAAAAAATGTAGAAAAAGTTGTGTATTTAAATGGCAATGCGCATTCATTTTAATTTTTTGGTTAATTAATTTCTTTTTAATTTATACCTACCTATATTTAGTCGTAGACTATTTGAGACTTTGAGAGCTATTTTTTTATTTAAACAATATTTTTTGAGTTTTTTTAACATAGTTTAGTAGTTTTTTAAAATAATATGTTTTATGTTTTGTTTACATTTATAATATATTTCTTTTGTACCAAAATTTATTTTTGTTTAAGTTTTTTTTTTAATCTATTTAAAAAACTGCCTATTCTACCTAAATAATTTTAAAAGTGACCAGTATACTTTTCATAAAACCATTCATTTGGATACTAAAATAAAATATACAACAAATACAACAATTCCATCATAAAATCACAGCTTCTTGTGGTCTACTTTATTTTTGTATATTTAATAATATTTTTACATTCTGGTATGCCTTGACAATATTTCAAAATCAACGTTCTTCTTATTTACTAAAAATAAAGAATTAAGTGTTGAATCATTTAATCATTAAATGAACTATTGCGTATACGTATACGATTGACAACATAGAAAATCTCAGTATTTATTGGATTTACCGATAATATAATGATTACTTAGTACCGAATACAAAATATCTGATACTCGAATAGGAAGTATCAGTATCTACTCGATACTTGGAAAAGTAATCGTTGCACATCACTAATTTTTATGTATACATTGTGTCTGCTTAAGTAAGCTGCACAATTCTACAAATATAAATTTCTCGAAAAATATTAATAGTAATGCAATCCCTATAATTCAGTCCCCCTTATTGGTAACCCCTTAAATAAAAAAAAAAGAGCTTGTGTCGGAAGGGTCGGCTATTATATATTATTAGTTGCTATGGCACTTCGGGAAGACACACAGATGATTGACGGTAAAATTTGGCTATCAAGTGACGGAAACCTCGAAAATACCAACTAATATTAACAAGGTTACCCGCGGGTATTAAAGTCTGGATGTCGTATCGACAAATAATTATAACCAAACTGGACAAATACCATAATACATAAATAATACAAATCAATACCTAATTATGAAATTACTGCTAATACATCACTTATCAAATCCTACAACAAACCATACAAATTAATTCAAATTCTGCTCTGGAACCCGAAGCAACGTATTTCTTTCCATTTAAGGCCAGTAATTTAATATAGGAGCGCTCGACACATTGGGTTACCGAGAAGGTTATAAACACGTAATACACCAGATTTTTTTCGCAACTTTACAGAAAATCAAGTGATAAATAAATTGCTACAACATCGTCCAAAGATATACGACTCTTTTTAAAAGAACGTTGTATACACTTGTTTTCTGGTTGTTTCCCATTTTCTTCTGTTTGTTTTGGCCCGTCTAGCAGGATTTATTGCTACGTTTTAAGGACTATTACGAGTAGAGGGTACAAGATTCCTGCTTTTAACAAAAAAAAAAGTGCAGAAAAAATATGGTTAGAGGACAAGAGGGTATTTTTTTTAATGGTAAAATAGAATTAAGATTTAGATGTATTGGCGCAGGATAAAATATAGAAAGATAATAACTATTGAGTCGACCAAAGATGAGTTACAATTAATAAAGAAATAAAAAACACCTTTAATTACTAAAAAATTAATAAAAAATCCTATACAGAGTGACTCAGAAATAAGCATCAAAACGATTGTAAAAGGTCTTTACAAAAACATACCACATATTCCTAAGACCAAAATAAGTCGATTTAATTAAAAATACTTTAGTACAAAGTTGCTTCGTTTGGGCTCCAGAGGGCCTTGAAGTTATAATTTTTAAATCGTTTTTCCCATATAAATTTAAAACGGCTTATGCGATTTTGCTGAAATTTTGTATGTTGGTAGAGTTTTATGTGGCAAAAAAATGGTTATAAAATTTTGTCCGATAATAATACATAGGCGTAGAACTTGATTTTTTAAATAATTGCACCATTAAAAATTCTACGCCAATGAAAGAAAAGAAATTTAAGCATGAAATTTAGATTGCGCAACTCATTTACTTTAAAAAAGGTACTCTTGATAAGACTCGATTACTCTCATGGTTTTGACGAAATTTGAATTTTAGTAATTTTAGAACATAAACAATAATGAGAGTAAATCGAGTTTATCAAGGGTACTTTTTTGTAGTAAAAAAGTACTCAATCCAAATTTCATGCTTAAACCCCTTTTTTGCCATTGGCGTAGAATTTTTAAAGGTTCAGTTATTTAAAAAATCAAGTTCTACGCCTATATATTATTATCGGACAAAATTTTATACGATGAAAAACATAAAAATGTACCTTTTTCATATCTTCTTCAACATCTCTAATCGAGACTTTTAACAAAAATACTCGATTCTTGCCATGTACGATTTTTTGAGGAATATTAATTATTTGCCTGCAATACGTATACAAAAACATTTATTGTTTGTTTCCATAGTTTCATCTAAATAAAAATATTGTCAAGTTTTAACACCTAATCTCTTGTTAACGATTGAAAGTGTTCTATCTGACTCAATAATTAAAAAAACAAATGCGTAGTTTATTAATATGGCTGTACAATATACCAATGCAGAATATACCGATATGTTACTGACATTACGATTTTGTGAAGGAAATGCTCGAGAGAGTGTCAGGGTGTACTCTGAAAGGTTTGCAAATCGTCATGTACCTAACCACCCAACTTTTGCTGCTGTTGAGAGACATCTTCGGGAGACCGGTTCCATTGCTCCCAACACTGTTGATAATGGAAGAGAACGTTTTGTAAGGATTCCTGAAGTTGAAGAAGACATTTTAGAACGTGTTGAAGAAGATCCAGAATTAAGCACCAGACGAATTGGAAGGGAACTAGGAGTAAGTAAAGATGTCGTTCATAAAGTGCTTAGAGAACAATTGCTATATCCATACCATAAGAAGCCAGTACAAGAATTATTAGTCCATGATCCTCAAATTCGTTTGGGTTTTTGTCGATTTGTTAATATGCAAACAGAAAGAGATCCAAACTTTGTTAAGAAGGTTCTCTTTACCGATGGAGCGGGTTTTACAAGAAGAGGTATAACTAATACCCATAATGAACATGTTTATGCCGTTGAAAATCCGCATGCAATAAAGGTAAACCATTTTCAGCACGAATTAAAAATTAATGTGTGGGCTGGAATAATTGGTAATTTCATTGTTGGTCCTGTCATACTTCCACGAAGATTAACTGGAGAAAATTATTTGGATTTTCTACAAAATATGTTGCCAGAATTGTTAGAAGATTTACCTCTCCAACTTCGGAGAGATATGTGGTTTATGCAAGATGGAGCTCCACCACATTTTTCTTTAAACGTTAGAAACTACTTGAATGAACAATATCCACACAAATGGATAGGCAGAGGTAATGACGCACCTGTAAACTGGCCACCACGTTCCCCAGACCTAACACCGATGGATTACTTTTTATGGGGCATCTGAAATCCACAGTTTACAGGGAACCTGTAGAAAATGAGGAACAACTCTGGCAACGTATTCAAGATGCAATAAACAATCTTAGAGGTGACGAAGAAGTTATGGAAAGGATACATTTTAATTTTATTCGACGTATAAATATTTGTATGCGTGAAAATGGTGAACATTTTAAACAATATTTGTAAAATCTCTATTTTGATTATGTTGTAAATTAATATTTTTGTGAAATCTATACACTCTAAATTATTAAAACAGAACTTTAGCGAAAACCATAAGAGTAATCGAGTCTTATCAAGAGTACCTTTTTTAAAGTAAATGAGTTGCGCAATCTAAATTTCATACTCAAACTCCTTTTCTTCCATTGGCGTAGAATTTTTAAAGGTGCAATTATTTAAAAAATCAAGTTCTACAGCTATGTATTATTATCGGACAAAATTTTAATACCATTTTTCTTTTACATAAAACTCTACCAATAAATCAAATTTCAGCAAAATCGCATATGCCGTTTTAAATTTATATGGGAAAAACGATTTAAAAATTGTAACTTCAAGGCCCTCTGGAGCCCAAACGAAGCAACTTTGTACTAAGTTAATTTTACTTAAATCGATTTATTTTGGTCTAAGGAATATGTGGTATGTTTTTGTAAAGACCTTTTACAGACACCCTGTATTGTATGATTTTCTAAGTAAAATGTATTTGTAGAGCCAGATAACACAATTTGAAATAAATGAATTTTTTTAAAGACTATCATATTTGTACCTGTAAGGTGAGGAAGCAGGGTTGTTCTAAATCATTTACACCTTACTACGTTTATTGTGCATCTTTAAAAAGCATATGGGGTTTGCCTTCCAATTTGTTAAAAACTTGTTGCTGAAAGGTGTCTAGGGACAGCCACTCTCTCAGCTCGTCAAAAGAAATACTATAGTAGTTATACATGCGGTTGATGTGCTACACAATAATATACGCTAGACCAACACATGACTTTCCTGTGCCGTTATTTTATATAACCTATTATATCACCCTTGTAAATGTTTAGAGGATGAACGAAATACATACATTTTCCACACACGTCTTAAGCTTCGGTTTTCTTCAAAGCGGTACCCCAAAAAAGCGGCCGTAATTTGTCTGTCCTTTTTCCAACGAGTAGTATGGTCGTTTTGAACGGTGAAGATTATCGTAACATTAAATACGGTGCGATAAAATACGGCGGCAAGCTACAGTAGATGATGCCTCTACCAACAGAAAATTGGATTAATTTAGCGGAAAATAATACAGGTGCCCAACAGACACTACTTTAAATTCGTGATAAATTCAAATATTAATTTTTCGGACCTAGCGCCATTAATTGGTAAGAACGTTACATTTGTTTTTTCCTGGGATCGTCTGACTATGTGTCTCCGAATAACACTGAAGCCTATTGGCTTATTGTGTTTTACCCCATGTTAGTTCATAGCACCCACTCTATGACCTTTGTACCTTGTACAAGTTTGTACAGATCCTTGGGTGAGTGGGTTCTATACGTTGTTGGATAAACCTGGGGTTGTCCAAAAAGAGCCTGTCTTTTGCGATCTAGAGC